TTGCACTATCACCAGGCTGGAGTACAGTGGTGTGGTCCCCGCTCACTGCAACTTCCGTTTTCCGGTAATCAAGCAATTCTCCTGCCTCAGCCTCCCGAGTAGCTGGGACTACAGGCACGCACCACCACACCGGCTAATTTTTTGTATTTTTAGTAGAGATAGTATTTCACCATGTTGGCCAGGATGGTCTTGATCTCTTGACCTCGTGATCCGCCTGCATCGTCCTCCCAAAGTGCTGGGATTACAGGCATGAGCCACCACACTCGGCCTAATAGATTGTATTCTTTCAGTAAATACCCGTTTTCTTTCTCCAACTCTGAAACCCAGCACCCCCCTGCCACGGGAGAAGTATACTTTCTTGCCGCAATGATGTCAGGTTTTGTCAGTGTCCACCTCTTTCAAGCAGAAGCTTTAATCACACTGGTATAATTGAACTTGGCTTCATAAGCTCCGGCCCTATGCCATGAGAATGTTTCAGATTGTGGCTGTTCCGTCAGCCTGAGTCCTAGAATTATCAGCTGAAGCACAGACCCAAAACAGAAATGTCTTGTTATAAGCCACTGAGATTTGGGGTTATTATTCAGTATGATTTTGGGAAAAGTTAATACAAGTTCTCTCTCAGAATCGATTTTTAAGCAGGCACTTGGCCAGGTGCAGTGGCTCAGCATTTTGGGAGGCCAAAGTGGGTGGATTGCTTGAGCTCAGGAGTTTTGAGCCCAGCCTGGGCAACATGGTGAAATCCCATCTGTACCAAAAACACAATAGCCAGGTGTTGTACCACATGCCTGTGGTCTCAGATACTAGCAAGGCTGAGGTAGAAGAATTCCTTGAACCTGGGAGGTGGAGGTTGCAGTGAGCTGAGATCACGCCACACTGCACTCTAGCCTGGGCAAAAGGGCCAGACTCCATCTCAAGAAAAAAAAAAAAAAAAGCTACCATCATTTGAGGTTTAAAGTCCTTCTAAAAAAAATGTTGAGGCCAGGTGCAGTGGCTCATGCCTGTAATCCCAGGAGTCTGGGAGGCCAAAGTGGGCAGATAATTTGAGGTCAGGAGTTCGAGACCAGCCAGACCAACATTGTGAAACCTCCGTCTCAACTAAAAATACAAAAAATTAGATGGGCATGGTGGCCCACACCTGTAATCTCAGCTACTCAGGAGGCTGAGCCATGAGAATTGCTTGAACCTGGGAGATGGAGGTTGCAGTGAGCTGAAATCACACCACCGCATTCCAGCCTGGGTGAAAGAGTGAGACTCTGTCTCAAGGAAACAAACAAAGAATGTTGAAAATACATTAGCTGTAAAAATGTTCAACAGCTCCAAATTAAGTGCTCAAATTAGAGTTTTTCAAAAATGGACCATGATGCTATAAAAAGTGGCAAGTTCTATTTTATAATTACTAAGATAGAGTACTGCTGTTTGGAAAGGGCATGAATTTTTTTTTTTTTTTTTAAAGACAGAGTAACATGAATTCCTGTTATGTCCTAACTTATATAACTGATACCAAAAATGCAAACTAGGTAGGGTGCGGTGGCTCAGGCCTGTAATCACAGCACTTTGGGAGGCCAAGGCAGTGGAATGCCTAAGCTCAGGAGTTTGAGACCAGCCTGGCAACACAATGAAACCCCGTCTCTACTAAAATACAAAAAATTAGCCAGGTATGGCAGTGTGCACCTTTAGTCACAGTTACTCAGGAGGCTGAGGCAGGAGAATTGCTTGAACCCAGGAGGCAGAGGTAGCAGTGAGCCAAGATCGCACCACTGCACTCTAGTCTGGGCAGTGGAGCTAGACTCTGTCTCA